AGAATATAACTCTTGGCAATAAGGAGTTATCCGTTATTTTATTCAGCTGGGCCAGCCAGCGGTATTGTAAATATATAAATATATGTTTATATATATATAGAATAGCTCTCTTTCTCTCTCTCTCTCTCTCTTTTTCTCTCTCTCACTTTGAATATATATATATGTATATATTAAACACTTCCAGCCAAAGTATTTCTGCGTTTATATATGTAAACTCTTTGGTTTTGCCAAGGTATTTACTCTGTTACTCGGTGAACGAAGTGAATAACGTATTTTGCAAAAGCGAGAAGTCCGTTAGTCTAAGTATTTCCCATCTCGAAAGACAATGCAGAATGTTGATCTCGAAACTTCCGTTTCGACATCCCAGTTGACCGAGTTGAACGAATCCGACGGATTCGATTAGCGTTCAACAGTTGAGTTCTGTATGAGTCGACCCTTCGATTGCAGCGAAAATTGTCACCCGTGAAAGATTATCCGGGGACGTTACGATTATCAAGACAAGAGGAGTTTGTCGAGAAGAAGCCGTATTCCTCCGATTTTAGTAGCGTTTGCTCGTGCGGCGTGAACGTCCGTGGCTAAAGAGAGATGCCGTATCTCCGTAATTCCGAATCGATAACAATTACTTGGTGGATTACCTCGCGGTAATACCCTATACAATAATAACTAGTTTACTCGCGGCAACTCTGATGCGGATACGCGCGTGTGGTGTGTGATAAAGCCCCGTAATGTGGTGTATCACAGAACAATTGTAGTAGTTATATCGTACAACATACTAAGCGCTGAAGACACAAGTAGACCGAGTCCAGTTTCATTAAATTTTAAATCGAACATGAAGAAAGTTGCTTTCAACAATACGTTCTCGTGTTTTACGTCTTGAGAACGTGTCTATTTTCTTTTTCCAATCGAAGCACTGCGAGTGTCAATTCTTTTTCAAATAGTGTTACATTTTAAAATCAAGAAATACTTTATTTTCGTCAAATGTACGTACTTCAGAGATAGTTTATAACGCCAATTATAACGCACGACAAGACAGTCGACACACCGCGTCGACACAGTTTTTCCTGAAACTTGCCGACATTTGGTCTACTTGTACTTTCGGTGCGTCGTATAACATTCGTATGTTATCGTTAATAATCTTAAAAGATAGATAAATGTCGACGAGCCATGATGGATGTATGAACAGTGATGCGACAATGCAAGCGCTATAGTGACGCAGCGATAGATGACACAACGGGCGGTAAGTTTTTTTTGTTTGTTTTTGGCGCGATGTGGACGAAATATATGTTTATATGTATATATATATATATATATATATGTTAGTATATATATATCGTATATATGTCGAAAAGTTGGGGAGAGAAGAGAACCGCCGTTGTCGGGCGCGATTTCTCAGGGCGTGAAGAGGTGAATAACGGAGCTCAATAATGGGGATGAACAAGTGGGATGCCGTACTTGAAATCAATGGATCATATTGGCGATGGCATTTTGACGTGCTCGCTTCGCCTCCTCTTCACTGATCCTCTGCTCGATTAAGTATTGAGCAGTGTTGATCGCATTAGGATAACCCGTGATAGTCACTATGCGGTTCCTGGTACCAGGGGCGAACATGCCCTTCTTAGAGATTTGTATGTTGGCGCCACTTAGGTGCTGAATCTCAATGAGGGCACGACCACCGGGTCCCAGAATAGCTCCCACTATAACCTCTGCAATTTCTATGTCTACTTTCTTGGTCTCCTTGCTGTTGGCGTCTACCTGTGTAGGACTCTTACTTACAAGTGATAACTGGTTAGTGCCCAGGCCGAACGAATTGTTGTTCAGGTGTATAGCACTGGCAGCAGTGTTGTTCTGTCTGAACGGATCGAACGGCTCGTACCGATCAAGGGTGTTGCGCGGCGTCGGCGAGGTCGATCCGAGCGCGGGCACAGTACCTATCGGTCCAAACACGCCGCCGTTGTTGTTCGAACCATTCGCGGTCGTGGTACTGTCCATCGGATTGCCCAAGTAACTCATACTCGACGGCATGCCGATTCCCATTCCGAGGATATTGTACTTGGCGAGAGTGGCGATCGCGGCAAGTATCTCCGTAGCGGCAGGCTCGGAGAAGCCTGTTGTACGTAGATTTAGCTTTATGTGTTCCAGCAGCTGCGTCGTCACCGGTGCGGTGCCCGCTGTAATGGCCGCGCCCAGATTCAGATTCAGACTTAGACCAGCGCCGTTCAAGAGGCTCACTGCAAAATGGACAAGCGATCGCGTGATTTTATTAATCGTCCACAGTGAAGACGCTCGGTGAACATACTCGTTGACTCGTAAAAGTTTACGCGCGTCAGCGTAACACCGAGTTCGTGATCGCGATAACTGCAAAGATACAGATAATGTGCGCAATTGCTTTTTAACGATCATGGAAGTCGCCGCTAGTTCTTGTAATCGCATGTCGGAGAGGCTAAATATAGTTTACTTCTTCCGTTTAAGCACGTTGGAGATTGACGTCTTAATTGAAAAACGATAATAAAGTTCACAATTTCCTCGCGTGTGTAGTTATTAAAAAAAAAAAAATGAAAAAAAAGATAAGCGCGTACTTACAAACATGAATCTGTAAATATTATAACGCAAAGAATATTCTTATAACTAATGATATCATACCGATAACATGCATGCGACGAAAATCAATTTGCGATGTTATCAAATACTGTACAAAGAAAATTTTATCCTATTGTGGAACTCGTGTTAACTAACCTGTGTTCAAACCAGCTGTAGACGTGTACGTGGGAGTACTCGTGGGGGCTTGAGCGTATGGGCTGCCTGTAGGATTGTAGTTGGCAACGGGACCACTTACATCCGCGTAACTGACATTAAGACAGGTTCCACTTTGTGGATCATCTGCCACTTTCGCTAAGATCATGAGTAACGCATTACGATTATTTTCTTTCTCACCGATCACCGTTATGCATCGTTCTTGAAGGGATAGATCTTTAGCTTTCTGACTTATTTGGACATACGAGCCAGATTCTTCTTTAATCTGCTTAATGTAATTCCCGGCCTTTCCTATTATCATTCCCGCAGTGCTATTAGGCACTAAAATTTTTACCTGAAATGGCAAGCATTACGGCTCGTGTCATTCATGCGCAAGATTTAATAACGCAATGAGAGAACAATTGTGAGACTGACTACCAAAAACTGCTTGTTTCACTATCTGCTACAAATGCAACTATATCTCAAAGTCTTTCTATAATCTATGATTAACGCTCCTTACTTGACGAAGATTATTGTAAAGAATTTATTATAATATTAAAATTAATACCATAATATAGAGAAAATATCCTGTGCATATGTATATGCATATGTATAGGGAATTGACATTTCAAAATGTTCTCGCGAATAACTATGTTTATAACATAATATTTTTACAACATACAAAACGTCAAGTTCGCACACGTGTCTTAGAAAATATCTCCAATATGAAATGTCAGGACAAGAGTAATTTTTCTCAACGGAGCGTTCTCATGGTAATAAATGTTCAATTCCTATACCTGCTTGTCTCTCTCCGCAGTGGCTTTACCAGAGTCAAAGTCGACCGTAGTCTTTGAGGTGAGGTCAGGTTTCTCGCGTATTTTCTCCATAATAAAATCCATTACTGCCATTATAGCTTCTACGCTGCCCGTGATCAAGCATACTCTTTCGGTAGTTCCTGTTGCAGATGAGCAAAATGGCTCTCTGAGACATCGTTGGTGAACGCGGTACGGATGCGCAAACATGCGGCAAGATAAAGCGGACACATACCTGGATAAAAATCATGCGATTTAGACATTTTCACCCTTGCCCCCGTATCCTTTTGCAATTGAGCGATGGTGTCACCACCTTTCCCGATAATGGCCCCGGCCGCCACACCGGGAACCAGTACTTTAAGGTGATACGTTCCATCTCCACCTGCAAAATCGGAATGAATCATTTTTACACGTGCATGAAAAAACAAATATCGTGAACACGTGTTTGCACAACGAATTACGAATCAGATGTGTACTCTTAAATCAACGTAGAAATGAGAAAACAACGATTGAAGTTTGTATAGTAGTTTAATGACGACAAGATACATGTGTGTATGTATAAAGATATGATGTGACTCTCGATACAAAATTGCCAAAATTGATAGCTGCAGGCCAATAGTGCGAAGGCGTATCTCGTGTATCTTGCAACATAATTTTGGCAAAGGACAATTATGAGTGGTCGTAATTTTCGCTATTTATAACATTTTACTATCTCGATTTCGAGTACAAGGTTTCCTAAATTTAGTTTGCGCATCTCCAATTCCTGCGAGCACCGCGAGTGGTCCCGATCGCGCATTTTGAAAAAAAAATTTCAAACGAATTCCACGGTCTCCTCTCAAAAGCTCTAGGATCAAATTCCGCAGAATTCCCGGACGCAACGTCAAATACGTAAAAACAATGTCACTCGTCGAGAAACACGATGACGCGAGCTTTACACAGAGGAAACGTTTCACAAAAAGAATCTTGGGATTTCTCAGAGCGAGAGAGAGAAAAAGAAAGAGAGAGACACGGTCGCCCCAGTGATTTTCCTTTCAGCTCCGGCCCTGCGTGTCACGCTATCGCGGCTCGCGAAACGTCATGTCGCCTCGCCAGTTGGGCGAACATATGACTCGTCAGCTGAAAATCGTCAGTCGATTTGCGATCGATGCTTACGTTCCTCGAACTTTCAGCGTCTATGGTTCTCGGGCGACATGTTCCGAAAATGCACGATCTTGTCTGCTTACATCGGCGAGCGTGATCGAACGGCCAAGGAAACTTCGTCCGGAGTCGAAGTCGTGTGACGTTGACGTTCGAGTCGGTCAATCGAGCGATGACGACGTGCCGGTGGACGCGACATCGGGGAACAAATCGCGCGAGAGAAGCAGAGGCCCAGACGCGGATATAGTATTACTTGAGCCAACGACTATCCGCTCTCTCAAGATTACAGCGCCGGCTATTGCAAGTGGAGACAGCCGCGACAATTACGCGATTAATCTTTCGCGGCAGATATGCAACGTCCCGCTTGAAGATTTCTCCCTGTAAGAAGTTAATCATTTCTGACAAGCGTTCCGATTTCAAAACAAATTTTTCTCTTTGATTAATGGCGCAACAGGATGAGAAGGCATATATCGCGTTGAAGTTGGAAACACTCGGGAAAAGAAGCACGGACAAGTCAAGCGGCATCCGAATGCACCGACGTAATCGGCGTTACGTCACAAGCAAAAACAGAAAAAAAAACGCGTCGATCACGGTCAACGGCGATTAATCGCGCCGCAATCGAGCCAAATTCGAGATCGAATCGCGCATAAGCAGCTAAATGAATCAGACCGACCCCGCACGAAGACCCTTCGCCGTCTTTAGACTCATAATTCTAATTATAACAATGACGAAAGAAAGAAAATCGAGTCGGTCACGGTCAGCTCGCCTGGTCGACAGCGAAGCCGATCGTAAGCCGCGGAAGGGGACATCGGGTGGGCCGACGTGGCCGATTCGGTTGCGCACCGACAACGATCTCGACCTCGCTCGAGGACCTCTGCCGCCCATTCTTTCGCGCAGGGCGTGATGCAGAGTGCGCGTCCACGACGGACAACGGGAACAGGAAGATACTCGCAGGATCCAGTGACACGCGCCAAGAACGGTGACTAACGGTCGATGCGGGATTGTCGGGTCGAAAGGGGCGGCGTAAGACGTGCAGTTGGAGGTGCGGAAGGCAAACAGCTGTTTGACAGATGGAAGCCCTGCACGCTGGCTGGCTGGTCGGTTAGTTCGCTCGCTCGTTCGCGCTCGTCGTTCGTTCGTTCGTTCGTTCGTTCGCTCGCTCGTTCACTCGCTCGCTCGCTCGCTCGGCTCGCCTGGCCCGGCGACCTTGACCCGCAACCTCGGCGCGGCGGAGAGGCGGCGGCGCGGTGCATGCGTGCGTGCGTCCGTGACAACTCACCGATGCGCCACATCCTAGCGGGCGCCGTCGTTCTGCTGCGCGCGAATGACAGCGACGGCGGCGCGCGTTCCGGCAACGAGGACGACGATGACGACCACGACGGCGGCGACGGGAGCAGCAACGGAGGCAGCAACAGCGGCGGCGACGACAGCTGCGGTGGCTTCTTAACGGCGGCGGCTGCGGCACCGCGGCGCTACGGATACGCGGCGACGAACAGAGCGCGCGATTGATACACGAAGATGACGACAACAACGACGGCGATGATGACGATGATGACGACGACGACGACGGCGAGAACGTAGCCGCGAGGCGACGTGCGCCGCTATTTCCACGATGCCCGCGCGACAAAGTTGCAGAGTCACCGTAGGAGCAGCCACCGCCGTGGAAGCGGTCCTCCATTAACGTCGACGTTCCACAGGCACGACCGCCCACACGTAGTCGAGGGAGCGACAGAGACAGACGGAGAAAGAAGGATGGAGAGAGAGAGGGAAACGGAGAGGAGAGAAAGAGAGAGGCAGAGGAAGAGACGGAGCGCGCGGACGGAACGTCAAAATTCAAAACACTGTTTTCTGCTGCAACGCGGTGCGACTCCGGTCGCCGTCGAACGTGGACGCACTCCGCGCGCGCGACAGTCCGCAGGTCGGAAAGAATAGGACACGACGACAGAAGCGAGAATAGAGAGAGAGAGAGAGGGAGAGAGAGGAAAAAAGGAAAAGGGGGCAATCAGGCAACGGGCGGAAAGAGGAGACGTGGCACAGGAGAGGATGCGCGAGGAGAGGCGAGGCGAGGCGCTGTGCGGCGGCGGTGCACCGTGTTCGCGTTGTCGCGGTGCTCCGTGTACGATCGCCCAGGCGATCCGCCGCCGAGTCAGACCTCGGAGGTGGGAAACGAAAGGGAACGGTACGGCGATCGCGCTGTGTCAACAGAGCACAGCACGGCGAGATTGTCAAAAGGTGCGCGCGAAACGGACAGAGAGGGGTAGGAGAAAGAGAGAGAACGAAATATAGCGAGGGAGAGAGACAGAGCGAGTCAGTCAGGAAGGAGAGAGAAAGAAAGAGACAGTCGTTGCCGCATATATGTGTGTATCGGCCTATTGCACGAGCGATGCGCGAGTATGCGTGCGAGAGGAGACTACCGCGCGCGATACTCGAAGCTTCGAAAGAGCGAGGTACGTATCGAGAGAGCGAGCGGGTCAACGAGCGAAATCGTCGGGACGACGCGCGGCGCGACGCGTCGTGATGACGCCCTCCTAATCGACATACCTGATCCGTAGTGCGACCTCTTGGTTGCGCCGTTTTCCGCGTCGCAGTCGAGCGGCCGCTTTCTGGAGTCCGCAATCTCCGGGGAGGGACACGTCTCCATTCCTGAGTCAGCGGCCATCTTGTTTCTCGCTCGTTGCGCGCACGGTTACACACACACACTCACACAGCCACAGAGCAGAGACAAGTGGTAGACGGCGCACACAGAGAGAGGCGGAGGTGAGATACACACGGAACACTACACTCCGCGGCCGAGGGTAGGGGAAGACCAGGAAGGCGAACGAGAAAGAGAGAAAGGAAGAGAGGGAAAGAGCAGAGCGAAACGTGCGGACGAGCAAAGACGAACAGTGGAGAAGAGACGAATGGTGGAGGAAGCAGCAGACGATGTTCGTTCGCGGGGGCAAGTGTCGTGTCCGGATGAGGCGCGAGAGAGCGGAGGCGCGACGTACGTATCGCTCTCTCGAACGGACGTACGCACAGCGATCGCGACAGAGTTGTTGCTCGCAGATGGGGGACACGAATGTAGGAACGCACGCCACGGACGTACGCGCGTACGTACGGACGGACGGACGAGCGAGCGAGCGAGCGTGTGAGTGAGCGAACGAATGAACGAACGAACGGGCGGGTGGACGTGCATGCGAGCGAGCGAACAAATGACACACGCGCTCGCGGGGTGCCGCGTCTCACTGGCGACTGCTCGCGGCTCCCTTGCCAACCAGCTGGTTGATACTCGCGACGCGGTGTGCCCTCGCGTACACCTCTCTAGGCTCGCCGCGTCTCCGTCTAGCCTGCGCGGTACCTATCGCTACTGCGCCTCTCTGTTCCCTCGTTCCCTCTCTCTCCCTACGCGCGCTGTTTCTCTCCCCGTCCTCGTCTCTCTCGCGAGCAGCCCTCTCGTGGGTTCCGTTCAGCAATGCCGTAGCAAGTCGTATGCACCGCGGGCGCCTTGTCAATGGGCACCCTCTCTTTGCTGTCGGTGCACTTCGCGAAAGTTTCACTCGGCGAGCGAAGGTACGAACGGACGAACGAACGAACCTGTAAACGAGCGACCCACCGACCGACCGACCGACCGACCGGGCGGGCGGATACTTCCGGGATGGATTCTTCGGAGGTCTCGCGGAAACCACGGTGAACGTTGCGTCGCGGCGCGCTAGTGGCGGAGAAGGAAGAGGAGATGGAGGAGGAGGAGGAGGTGCACGAGGTGGAGGACGAGCGCGCTCGTTACGTAAGCGATGACGAGACGTAACCCGGCGCTGGCGCCGCCGACGCGCTGCGTCGTTCGTCCTGCGCGGCTGAAACGCGCGCGCTTTAGATCGAATTATGGCGTCGCCGTCGTGCTTCGCTGTCGCAGCTGGCGGCGCGCGCACTCACTGCGGAGTGACGTTCGTCACGGTCGCGGGCGTTTTTGAGTCTTCAGAGCGGCCCTCCGCGGCGGGCTACTTCAGTTCTCTTGTAGCAAAATTAAGTAGGTTATCTCTGGATGATTGTGTCGCTGTAGGAGAAGGGAGATTGATAAAGATATAACTGTGGCTCTATCGTATGTTACTATTAAACGTACCAATGCGCGCATATTCGTCATGAATCGGGTGTTAATGTCGTGATCCTTTGATTGTTATAAGCGTTACGAACACACGCATGTCGACTGTTTGTATCTTGGCAATGCTACTTCGTTTCCATCGTCATTCCATCCGCAGTTAATTGTCTATAGTCTTATGTTATGACGATGCAGTCCTAATCATTCGTTTAGTCATGTCTCTATCCCTCTCTTCCTCTCTTTCCCTGTCTTTCGAAACAGCATACCACCGCATGATGTTCCCGCAGCGCACGCGAATTGCTGTATTTCTTTTACGGCTGTGTTTCTTTTCGCTCGCGATGAGCAATCTGCGACCTTTGCGCTCTCACGAACGCGATAGCGCGCGCGATCTCGCGTCGCTGCCGCTCCGTTTCTGTTCGGCTCGCGACACACGGACGGATCGTACGCGATAGCTCTCGATTTCTTATCCTTGGTCTATAAATGTAGCACGGCAAATATACGGCTTGGCGATTATGCGCGACCGAGCCGAGAGCAAAGTCCTTCGGAGAGCGACTTCGGGACCACCGTAGCGCGAGATCGTTCCGCGATTCTCGCGCTTTGTTGTCGATCTGATCGACAATACGCTCAATTGACGTCTGTAAAAGCCTCGAGTCTTGATAAATCTATTTTCCAGAGAGGTTCTCCGAACGAACGCCTATGTATACGTAGCCTACGGCGGTATTATAATCTACAGATAAAAAGAAACGCAGGATCGGGATATCGGAGAACAAAAAAACATGCATACGATAAGATAAGCTTTGATGTAAATTAAGAAACACTCTCGTCTTAATGTCCGAATATCGATTTTCAGGAAGAGTCGACGGTTGTATGAGCGACGTCCGTAGTGTAAATGGCGCTCCACTGCGTCTTTTCATCGCTAATAATTGTGGGCAGAAAAGTCAATGGGTACAGTTGGATACAGCTGCAGGTGAGCGAGAAAACGCGCGAATCTAGAGCACGCGTGGTCGGAGCGGCGATTCGTCACGTATCGATCGATCGATCTTTATTCGGCTTGTTCCTGACGGAGCTTTATGTTCGCGCCCGTTTCAAAGTTTCGAAGCACGGGTAAGAATGAAGCGAGTGCTCTTATATCAGAAGGCAGATGCATTCGTCTAAAGGCAAAAGTACGTAAGAAGAGATCTCACTTTCACCTTTATCACCGAAGCGCTCGCTTTTTGAAATACTCACTCGTAAGCATCGCCTGTTTGCTGTAAGGTCAGCATTCGATCTTTCGGCCATCGTATTCTGTTTTTCCCCCCCAGTATGTTTTTCTCTGAGGCAAATAGGCATATGATTGGAATAATTAGTTTCATTAAAACAGTAAATCTAAGCAAAGATAACAAAAAAATGTGTGCAACATTCAACAGAATATCTGTGCTGCGCACACTAAGAAAAAAGATACTTGAAAATTTATTTGTGGGGAGTATAAAGTTTATTCGCAGAAATAAACTTTATTTCGCAGAAATTAACTTTATATCCTAAAAATAAATTTTTAAGTATTTTTTTTCAGTGCAAGCACATCACTGTCATGATATATTGCCAACAGAGAGAACAGAGAAGGAAATATTTTTCTCTGCTCTATTCCAAATATATACACAACATACACACGCGTAGAAAATAGCGATATGCGATTCATACTTTTATCGTATTCGTATATCTATTCGGGGTTTCTATTATCTCACGCCTACAGAAGCGAATACTTCAGCGCTTCAAGTATACACCAACATTCCAATACCTTTATCTTATATTTTCACACTCTCTTTCGCAAATAACAGCAGAAGCGCTCACTTTGTCACATTTGTACGAGTCTAAGCGGAATATTTGAACTGCCGTGTATTATCTAGTAGCTTTTTACTCGCAGTTATACACGCCATTAGCTTCCTATTGAATAAAGTATATGTCTGAAACAAATGTGATGGATCTAATAACACACGAGCCAATAATAAACGATGATTAATATATTTTGGACAAATAGACAAGCAGATACATTTTTGAAAAATCGGTATGTCGCTGCATAGTTGTTAAATGTTGTTGACTCATTAATGAAAAACATCTTTCAGTCTTTTGGTTATTTTGTGATTGGGTAACGATTGTGGAATTTTTCCTCGATTACGTCATTTATCTAGCATCCGCTAAGCACGAGGGGGAACATCTCTCTCTCTCTTTCTTTCTTGTCGTAACGTAATAACTGTCGCCAACCGGTTTTAACACTCGGATTTTTGATTCCGACAAACTATCGACGTAGTCAGCAACATCGCTCTTCGTCCACATATCTGAGAGAGACAGAATTATGTTTGAGTCTCACAGAAAAAAATCGTTTTTTAGGAGAGGTCGGCAGAGATGCAAAAAAAAACAGATGATGTTGCCAGATGATGCGGATGGATATTTTCAAAATGAACTAATTAAACAAGTGAGCGAGCGATATGGATGTAGCTGGTCAGTTTGAAACTTACTTGTGAAGTAACCACGGATCTCATACATTGGTATATGCTTACGTTCAGACGCGTAAATGTATATTGCTTGAAATAGTCAGGGAATGACACCAAACGAATAGCTTTGACGAATAGCTTCTGCAACTCGAGGGAGCCAAGTGTGTTTACTATATATTGAAATTAAGTACAGCGGATGTAATTTGCTATTTCAAGCTGGGCCACCGGCTAATTCGTACATTTGAGAAAATGACGTGTCCAGATCGTTTCGAGCAATATAACGGTTTGATTAGCAAAAAACTCGTGAATTTATTATACAAGCGAACGTAACTTTTCAGTGCGCTCTGTGTGTATGAAAAATCGAACGGGTGCGGAGGGTTGCACGCGCATGTCCTTGCTCCGCGCGAGTCATCGAATCGGCGGATCTCCCGTGTGCTTTTTTAGACGGTACCAGGTCGGCCGTTCATGCGTACGTACCTAGTGCGTATCAGCGTCTATACTTGAACACAAGCAAAACATATTGTGTTGCATACACGCATGCATTTGAATGCGCTTATTCCCAAGGCCGCTCGCCACACGCGCTGACACATTACACGACGATGTTTGGCGCGGCGAGACGAGGCGAAGCGTAGCGAGGCAACCGCGAAGCTGTCCTTCGTCGCGGAACTTTTTCATCTCTTTCAACGTGGATTTATGAGTTATCACACGGCGCGCGATCGGGCATGATGTGTGTTGAAAAGCGACGGGTCATTCGCTTGAAATTCATAAGTGCCTAATCCATATCTAGAATCAACGGAGATTATGCGTCACAAAGTCGTGAAGAGCTTACAACAAACTAATTAGCGTCCAGACAGCACAGAGAATTTAAAAAGAATTCAGTCGTATGTCACCAATTTTGAGTTCATTTTTAGATGCAAAAAGAATTTCTTTCACTGAACTGAACTCTGAAGAATTCCTCTTGCATCTGAAAATGAACTCAAAATTGGTGACATACGACTGAATTCTTTTCAAATTCTTTTTTCTCTGTTATCTGGGCGGTGATTTACGTCCCCTCGAGGATGTAGATCTCAGACGGTTTGGAGAAAGATTTTCTCTAATTATCAAAGTAATCACTAATTATCTTAGATGGTTTTTGTGGAATAGAATATTTATGTACTGGCGATCAAGAACATTAAAATACAGTGTTTTATAAAAAAATACATACACTCTATAAAAGGATTAAAGTTAGATACTAGGATTAGTTACTAAAAAATCAAACTAATTTAAAGCAAAAATTGGTATTTTGTAAATTAATTTCTGAAATTAGTTATTGGTAGTATTTGGTAGTGCATTTTTTATCAACAAATAATCTTGGAATTCTTTCGACAAACAAATAGAAGGTTTCATAAAGTAAAATCTTTTTTATTACAAAATGCGAGTATTCCATGGTGCCTTGAAAACTTAGCCAGCCCTGACATCTTCCTGATGCGTGGGTGCTTGCGTTCGTACGCGTGCGTCACGTTGTATATCCACTGTACATCTCGCTGCTTGTGACGAAGAATAGAACACCGCGTACAAAGCATGGTGGAAGCAAGAGGAGATAAGATTACTTACTTTTTTAACGTGGCGACTGCCTATGGTGCGTAACATAATGCACAGTCAGTGGAGGCTCTTTTGAACGTATCTCTGTCGTATTCATGAGTAGTAACGTGAAGAGACGTGGCGTGACGAAGGTTATGGGATAACTGATTCTGTTCGTCCAAGTTTCTCATTAGCGGAAAACTATGGGAAACTTTACGCGTGATATTGTGATTTGGTACGTCTTAATTTTGTTAAAAGTGTGATATTCTAAATGCAAGCACATAGAATATTCTGTTAACCTAGTTTATAAATTGACAATTAGGGCAAAGCAATTTATGATTGTTATGTGATTGTGTCTCTCTTAAGTGTTTTTATATTTATATAAAGAATTTTATAATATTTATACAAAGAATTGTATACAATATATGATGAGACAAGCATATCTTTATCCACAGTCATGAATTATAGCCCAAGTCTCTTGTTATTTCGGTCTATATGTATTACAGTGTGATTATGAAATGTATTTTGTAGTGTGCTGCTACTACTTTCAGTCAGCATTATATTTGGAACCAGTGAGATCATTAAATCATTAACCAATAATGGGGAGGAAATTCCCAAGACATCTGTGTATAACACACTTGTTCGATTATGCTTAAATTTATTGGGATACTCCACTGTACTATTACCTGGTTACCTCATATACAAATATGTGCGCTATACAAAGTATATTCAAAAAGGTGGTAAGTACATTAGTATCTTAGATAATAATCTTAAATAATGTAACCATTATATTCCAGATATATTTAGGCAATTGTAATTTAAGAAATATTCATGTAGGGAAAGGCTGTATTCTGCCCAAACTCGTGCACTCGTGCTTTGTGGGGCATTGCGAAACAGGTCTTTTGGATTCACCTCCGTATACTCCCAATACTTCCACTCACTCCCAACGTACTTTTACACAAGATGCCCTACTCTTGATGTATTGTTTCTTTGGATTGCAAGGCAGTTATCTATCATGGGGATATTTGCAGGAGAAGATAATGACACAAGTATGAGTTTTATTGATACTTGTTTATTGAATGAAAAGAGGACACCATTAACTGCCTGTCATATTATCAAAATTGTGACAGAATTTTTCATATTTCAATTTTTATTGCAGGAATATGAGGATGCTTCTGGCAACAAAGTACGGTTCCAAGATTCGCAATTTCTGGTATTCGTCAATCGTATTCTCGCCTTTCTAATGTCAGGAATTTATTTGCTCATTAAGCGCCAGCCACAGCACAAAACACCTTTGTACAAATATGCATTTTGTTCTTTATCAAATATTATGAGCAGCTGGTGCCAATATGAAGCTTTGAAGTATGTTAGTTTCCCAACACAGGTAAAAAAACGCATACTATTGTAATTTACTTCCTGGATTGTAGTCGTTATTTATTTTTTTGGTATATATTACTGTTCTCTCTTAATAGAATGAGTATGTCATAAAAAAGTCATTAAATTGCCTATAGCAAATTTAGCTTACTAAATTTTAAGTTTATGAAGGTATGGGGTCTCGTATGTCATTTCATATAATCCATTTTCCAGGTTCTAACTAAAGCCTCAAAAATTATTCCAGTTATGATAATGGGAAAAATAGTGTCGCGCACGTCATACGAGTATTATGAATACGTCACTGCGGTTCTCATTTCTATCGGAATGACCCTGTTTATGTTGGACAGTTCCGATTATAAAAACGGTGAGACCTCCTTTATTAGTGAATCGAGGGCGATACACATCGACCGAGATTAACATTGTAATAAGCTGGCGAACGCTTGCAGATGGGGCTACTACGCTCACCGGTGTTATCTTGTTGGGAGGTTACTTAGTGTTAGATAGCTTCACGAGTACCTGGCAAAATGCGCTTTTTGTGGAGTACGGCGCGACAAGCGTGCAGATGATGTGTGCAGTTAATATGTTTTCCTGCCTGTTGACTGCAATGTCTTTGTTTCAGCAATCAAGCTTTCCGTTGATATTTTCCTTCATGACAACGGTAATTGATTCATACATCATGACTCTCTTCGCAACATCGATCGTACGCACTTAATGCTAATGACGGCGTTTGTCCTTTTGCAGTATCCTAGATTCATAATCGATTGCTTGCTGATTTCGATCTGTTCAGCAGGCGGTCAGTTGTACATCTTCTACACAATTTCCAAATTCGGGCCGGTTACGTTTGTCATTATAATGACCATTCGTCAGGTAATTACTACTTAATTAATATATAAGAAAAGAAGCAAACACTAGAGCGAGAACAATATAGATTATTCATGATTTCTGTTGCAGGGTTTGGCAATATTACTATCGTGTTTGGTCTACCATCACGAGATCACCGTTGTTGGTGTGTTCGGCGTATTATTAGTATTCGGTTCTGTGTTCTTACGAATTTACTGCACGAATCGATTGCGCGCAATCAGAAGACGTAGAGCCGCAGCGAACAGTATAAAACATTAAGGCTTATTTCACTTAGGCGAAATTGCTCTTGTAATTGTCATAGAGGTAGAATTCGATCGTTCGTGCGCTCGTAAATCGTCATTAGGAGAGGATTGTAATGTCATTGTAATTAGACATGCCGTCATTACAAACACTGAGACAGAGTTCCGTCTCGTATTTGCAATTAATCGTCATAATGTGTCTCCGTATATATTACGATTGTATTCTTAATAGTTTTAACAGATTGATATGTCGACGCTTGGAGAGATAATTGTTATAAGAAATTCATAACTATAATGTATGCCGTGTGTGTAATGTGTGTGCGTGTGTGCGTGCTCGCAGTATACATTGAGAGTGCCTGTTACTCCTGTGACGAGTATACGTGTAATCTTAAGAGAAACAGTCGCATTACGTGTGTTTCATTGACACAATGAGTGTACTACGTCATTGTATTATTTATTTGAAAAATATTTATTTTGATATAAATGCGTATACAAACAAACGTGCGCGCATATTTTTCTCCACCAGAGGCAAATAACACACAACACAGGGGCAGATATATTAGTACATATATCGTTAGTCTCCTTCCTAGGGATTCGTACGAATTCCAGCTGCTTAGGTATGAAAATACACGTAAGTGTTCGGCAGTGTTCACGATGTTGATTGGACAAATTGCGTAAAATTAACAACACGAGATATATAATGATCCTTTCATTTTTTTATTCTTCCATAGACAAAATGAAGTGGCTACTGTAAATTATTCCTATTAAATATGCCACTCTGCTAGAGACACATTTTGCACTTGAGTATAAAATTTAGATCGCAAAATATCTATCATTTATCTAATTCAGTCTATGGAATGTGGATGGTGTATGTACAGTGCTCGTCGTGCGGATGTTCCAGATGTATGAGGTATTTGTACAATTTTTCAAATTCATATTTATACACACACACACACACACACACATACAGAGTACATTTTGTGGAAGATATAAAAGTATATTTTTCAACATTTTTCTATAGTATCCAGTCTTTGCTTTTAGATTTAGTAAAAACACGTCTGCGAAATCCTACTTTGACGTGCACATGTGTATTACATAGTATGTGAGTCTATTTAATACATAGAAAAGATATTACATGGTATTTTGACGATAAACTATTTTTCAGACTTAGAGCAATGATAAGAAAAATTGCAAGGGACAAAGGAATATTTTCTACTATGTGGCAAGAAAAAAATAACTTCAATCCCATATATAACAAACACTGATAGCACACTCGAGATTTGTTCTTTTTTGAAGAACTTACTGAACTGATATAAACTGGTAAATATGTTAATGCAACAGTTCTGTTTTTTATAACTGAACTAGTGCATTCGGAGCTTAAAAAAAAAACAAGTATATAGCTGTGACTTGGTGTAAAAAAAAGAAAGAAAGAGAACTGGTGTAAGAGAACTATCACAGCCAGAGTTCAGCTACAAAGAATAGATTAAATAAATTGGAGTGAAACAAAAGGCCTCTTTCAAAGAACTTCCTGAACTACTATACGCTAAAGATGCAATAGGTTAGAGTGGAAAACCAAATATAGTTGTTTCACTCTTATTGCAATAGTTTAGGAAGTTCTTAAAAAAAGAACAAGCTTAAAATACACTAAAGTTTTTTTTTGTTGCTGAATTGACTGTGCTAACTTCTCTTTTTCTCATAATGTCTCAACTGTATACCTATGTACATCAGCTCAGAAGATTCTTAAAAAAAAATAAGTCTTCTGAGTAAACCGTTGGTCTGTTCTTTGTAGCTGGATTGGCTGTGCTAGCTTCCACTAGTTTCCTTTTTCTTTTTGACACTAAGCAACAGCTATATACCTGTTTCTTTTCAAGTTGTGACAATATGCATTAGTTTAGTTATAAAAAGACTCCACACAATACGTCTAAAATCAGGACATAAGACATCTGAAAGGCATCCTAAAGACGTCTCTCAGACGTCGGAATGTAATATGTCCCTAAGATGTCTTTAAGACGTCTTATGATTTTAGACGTTGTATTGTATGGGACAGACTTTGTGTTAAGCATGACAAGTTCAAAGATATAATAAAGTGTGATCTCCCTAATGTCAAGAGAATATATCCATTGTTACTTCTCCGGTGGTGGTGGTCGATAGATGGCAATGAGGCACATAATAGAGATCACCACCTCGGATGCCAGCAGGCCTAACTGTATGCTACAAAGGATCACCTCCAGCCTGAGCACATAGTACTGCCAAAGGAGAAAGTAGAGAGTCGCTAAGGAGCTGGGAACGGTCAAGACTATGCCGATGACAATCGGCAGTCCACGTTCCGTCAGGTTTCCTCTCCTACCGAGGTAGATCCTGCCGGCCTCTGTCACCATCAGGAAGAAGAGCAGCGCGAACTCCGTGAGCGTCTTGTTCGCGCCCGGTGACGGCAAGTTCGCGGCCTTGAACAGGCCCATGCCGAGCTCGCACACGGCGAACATGCCGAAGTAGAAGGAGTTCAAGTACATGAGAATCTCGTAAGTCAGCGAGGAGTTCGCTACGGTAGGCATTTTGCCGTGACGGGCGTCTCTCGTCCGATAACGACGCGGACGGTGTGCGACTTTACGGGCTCAATCGAGCAGCACTCTCTCCTCTCCCTCTTCTTCTCTCCGTGTGTGAAGACACTCAATCGTCTAACGGAAACATTATTTGTACAACTGTACCTCTTTTTCGTATCTTTCCTGCGTTCTTATCCGAACGCTGTCCCTTGTTTCGTAATCCCGTTCAGCATCTCTGTCTCATGGCTCTCGTCGCGACACCGTTCGTGGTTTTCAATGGAACGTCTCGTGGAGCCGCCAGCTTGATCACGATGTAGAAACAACGCCGATCCCGGCGAATATCGTTCCACCGTGCTCACTCTCGCTGGTATGTTTATTTTTAACCATGCTGCAAAGCCGCGCGAGCATTGTGAGAATAGGCTCCGAGCAACGCGTCGCAGTACTGTCAACTTCGAGAAAATAATAGGTCTGTACTTTCCTTCCTTCCTTCAATATTTGGCTAGAGGCGCATCCATGATTCATGCCCCAACGCCATTACTCAGGTCTGTACTTTGTTCTGTTCTTTGTAACTACACTGTTGAATTGGTGCAATAAGTTAGAGTAGGATAAATATATTTTTTCTTATACACTAACTTATGGTATCAGTTTAGCAGTGCAGTTAAAAAGAACGGACCTAATGCCTCTGACCTAACTTTGCAGTCAAGTAATTTTCGATTGTTCTTTTTCTATTAACAGCTGATTAATTTGACGTTGATCAATCTATTGACTGTGATCTATCTTTCTGATTTTTTTTCTTATTCTTTCATTTTTTCTAGAAGAAAAGTAAAATAGATGTTGATATTTACAATAGGCAGTATTGCTTTTAATGAGTGGAAAATAACGGCTTCAGAGTAAGGAAAGTTCAATGATTTTGGCTATTTCAAAAATAAATTCTCCCCTTATTTAAATTTGCCACGCGCGTCAGTTGTGGTCAGAGTTACCAATCTAGAGCAACGCAGTAACTTGTGAAAACTGATCGACGCGCCATCTATGCGGCATCTTCAAATTCAATTTCATTCATCTCAGGCAAATAATTGCAATAAAATACGTTCGAGTTTATGTCTTTTGAGCAGAAAAGTCCTCGCTTAGTCTCTCGTTATCGGTAATTCAACGAGTTCGTGTTATTAATTCACGGCAAGTTCACGCGAACTCGATAACTCGTTTCTTCATGTCATGGAAACGACATTCTGCGCACTTCAGTGCAGTTCCGAGCTTGCGACTCGCGCGGGGAACGCTGGGAGTTCGTACTTCCTGCAATCCCGCGGGAGGAGATCCGACCGTAAATCCTCACGACATGGACACAGACGTCGATGAGAGCAACGTGAGCCGCGAAATGGATCCCTCGCCTCCGTCGCTCTAATAATAATCACCAGATAACCACACACCGCGCGAGAGAGTCGTTGCAGCGATGTCGTTGCGCCCGAATCTTGTTAGATTCTTCAGGCAGTCGTCGAGCAGGCTGTCGCGGCGCTATCGCGGCGATATCATCGCGAATCTGAGAAAATGGCATCGTCCGATGGTAACAACGAGTCACTTTCGCCCGTTGATAACGCGCCGTCTCGATCTCGATCTCGCCCACGGCGTCGTCGGCGGCGTCCGCCATCTCGCCTCGACGCTTTCCCGCGTCCAGCCGGCCGTCAAGATCGAAGTCAACGCGCTGTGGCCCATCGAGCGGGAGGAGACAGAGGAGATAGGCCTGGTAAAAATTTTTTTCCTGGTAAAAATTACGTACAGAAACAGAAATGGACAGGATTTCTACCTGTTTCTACCCAATGAGAAATGACGTCGTTTCGACGTCGATCGACGAGTCATTTCTCATTGGGTAACTGTAAGCTGTCCGTTTTATCCGCAACATGCGGATAGAAAATCCGCATTTGCAGCAGTAGATTCTATCCATTTCTGACCGTTTCTGTTCGCAATTTTTACTAGGAAGAGAAAGATTTTCTGCAGGATGCCCGAGAGGCGATTCTAATATTGGCTAGGATCATGGTCATCAGTTCGGTCATCAGCACCCTGCTCGCCGCTTATCTGATAACGCGTTTGACGCACGCGACTTCGTTCTCTACTATCTTACGGAAAGGTGAATGTGGTTGCTTTACATATATAGTAGTTGCTGTAGTATTTGCTATAGTATTGCTGACTAACGTCTTTTCGTCACTGATATGACATATATATTGTAAAAATGAACAAATAGATAAATCGGAGATCTCCGTTTATTCTGAAGTAGCGCACACATTGGAATTCCTCCAATTTGAAATCTAGTAGATATTTGAGATTTCTCGGACGTTATTATGCAACATTCTTGTACACATTCCACTCGTGTGTTGTTCTCATTCTAGCATTTCATTTGCATTCTTGTGAAATAACGTCGAGATACTTACATAAAATTATAGAATTTTGTATCCCGTTGAATCAAGACAAGCGGTATAATGAGAATTGCACTTTTGCAGCTGTCGAGTTTCTCGGGCCGATCTTTGTCAAGTTCGGCCAGTGGGTATCCACGCGAAGGGATATCTTTCCGCGGGACGTCTGTGACAGCTTGTCTCAACTCCAACAAAACGTGACGCCGCATTCTTGGCTATACACGAAACGCCTGCTCAAAGCCACGTACGGCTCTTCTTGGCGGAACTTGTTCGTGAAGTTCGATGACGAAGGACCGATTGGGTCAGGATGCTGCGCGCAGGTATGTCGATGAAACACGATAGGATAAACTCTGCCCATCGCCTACATGTATTCAACATAGTTATGTAATACGGGATAAAGTAAATATCGTCTTCCTGAGCTTTTTCTTTTTGTCTTTGCGTTGCAGAAGCATACAGCTCGATAAATAAGACTTGAAACTACGTCTATTTCGTACGTAAAATAAATTGTATATAAATTAAGCCAAAAATTAATTCAACTTAAATTTTAACTTAAATTTCAACTTAAATTGATTCTTATTTTGTTTTCTAATTACCTTCTATATTGCATAAGGAGACATTTCTGATTCATCATGTTTGGATAATAATTTCACGACGAGAAGTATAAGTTCTCTTAATCGATTTGCAGGTGTATAAGGCGTGGATAGATTTGAACGAGATTGCGGGCATTACAGTGGCGGGAGCAAATCCCCAAGTGTCACGTTTCGTGGAAAGTAAGTTTAGAAAGTGTTTTCACTTGGTGTGTAACGTCAATGCGATAACGACTTGCGTGAGCGACTTCACGAGGCCGTCTTCTTCTTCTTCTTTTTCCTCGCTTCGCTATCGTCCGCTTTCGAAATACATTTCGAAAAACACGCATCGTATAGAAATTTACGGCGTACAGATACTTTTGCTAAACGCGCAACTGCTAACGCGTGCAAATTGCAGCCAGAGTCGACAAGACAAGTAGACCGTATCGATGATTTTAGACGAGGCTCCCAATGAAAATGACGAAAACGATAAGGTCGCTCCTGCCGGTCCGGCCAGGAAATTGCAAGCCGTAGCGGTAAAAGTGTTGCATCCTGGAATCAAAGGCCAACTCAAGTACCTCCTTTAAGATACCGCGAAGATAACATTTAATAATCTTTCCCGGTAACGTTCAATCACGCCGCCGATAAGAGCCGCGTGATGGACCGTAGATGTTTATACTTCTGTTGCAACCATACAGGGTGTCCCACCACTACCGCGTCTACGTTCAATGACTGATTTCTAGGTCAATTCGACGCTGATCTTTTTCTCAATGTAAATATCGAAGAATATCACTTTTTATCGCGATTTTTCCGCGCTCAAAATTACACATTTCAAAATGACACATCTGAAAATTAACAATCAAACTGATATTCTATTAAAATGAAATCGCCTTGAAATTAATTGAAGTATACAACGCGCTTCTACTACTTGCACTTTTGACATTTAGCTTACGAAAAGCTGACTAAAAAATAGTTGGAAATAGATATAAAGCGCTTTGTGTTTAATCGTGATGTATTGAAAAATTAGTCAATACTGGATATTCCTGTCGGAGATTTTGAATTAGCCGGTGAATCTTTTAGTAAACAGTAATGGCGGGACACCCTATATACTCACTATTCGCTTTAGAAGGGACATCGCGATAATGCGCGGCCTTTGCAAGTGCGCCACGTACTTCATACCGGAACTGCATTGGCTCAGTCTCACGGATTGCATCGACGAATTCGCGCGGATAATGCAAGACCAAGTAATTTCGCAACACGCATATTTCCCACGACTCTCGCATCTCCTATGCAATCTGGAAAAAAAATCTCGTTACAACGAACTCTGCCGGGACTCAAGTCCCTCCGCGGGGATCGAGAGCCGACTCGTTAAAGCCGGCAATTCCGGCGAGTTCGCGCGCGGCGAGACCGACGAGGAACAATCATTCTCGCGAAGAGAAGCGGGAAAACGTAGCTTCGCGCTCGATTAAATCGTGCGATGGTTTGCCAAGGTTGATATGCGACTGGAAGCCGCGAATCTCGCGAGATTCTCAGCGAACTTCTCGAGGAGGCGCGACGTCGTGTTTCCGTATCCGTACGTGCACCTGACCCGTCGCGGAATACTCGTCGAGACCTTCCACGAGGGCTCGCCGATATCCGACTATCTCGAGCATGACGACGCCACTTTTCAACGGAAGCTTGCCAAGATAGGCATCGCGACGGTCCTCAAAATGGTTGATAACGCGCGAGTTTGAGATTTCTCTTTTGAATATAATTTAAGCGTGCGTTTAGTTTAAATATAAGGATCGTGCAATTTATGAAGAATACCGTCAAATATCGTGCACGATGACGGAATTAGATTTGGATTAGACCGAGTGTGTATGACGCGGAATTAGAGTCTTGAAATTGATACAAAAGTCGCGCGCCGTCCGACGTTCCAGCTGTTTCAGGATAACTTCATTCACTGTGACTTGCATCCGGGCAACATTCTAGTCGAAAAAGCGGTTGTCCCGAAGGCAGGCCTGTTTAGCATCATTCGGCGGGTCATTACCCCTAATTACGTGGCGGACGGCCCACGCTTGATTATATTGGACTGCGGTTTAGTGGCATCGCTGAGCGATCGCTGCCGACGAAATCTCCGAGACGTTTTTCATTCCGTGCTAATGGGAAACGTAAGCTGAAGAGATAATTTATTGACACGTTCTCCCTCCGTGTTTTCTCACATCACACTAGCGAGAAGAAGTCGAGAAGTCGAGAAGAGATAAATGTTTATCTTTTATCTGAAACATTTTTTACAAGATATTCTACTTCACGTTGATGGCGAATGTTATTTTCATCGTTTCTTTCTGGTTTTGTATCGATGTTGTAAAATGAGAAATAGTCGATCACGATGGACCATCTGCATAATAACGCCATGACACCACATTATGTTTAAATATAGCAAAGCATCTCCTTATATTTGCATCTCCTTTTGAACTTTCTTTCGTCTCTTAATATACTTGCAATTTCCTCAGTATCCATTTTTAGTATCCTATTCTTTCTCTTGCAGGGTTTAATAGCTGGTCTTCATTATTTCATATTTTATTCTGTACGAAAAATTGCGTTTACACAGTCTTCTTAACAAAAAATTCAAATTTCTATTCGGAAAAGCAACCTCAAAGTTTTTTACTACAGTTTACATGGTTTCTAATTCATTTGTTTTTTATTTTTGCATGGAGGGAGGGACACAAAGGTTGTTTGTATGTCGTTAATCGTGGACCATCGTGACTTCTTACCCCTCGATCGATCTATATTGACGTCAAGCATAACATTAGGGTGAAATGGCGGCGCAATATATCCTGGAGCACAATTCGTACACGACTCCTGATTCGGATGGATTCAAACGCGCGATGAAGAACATTGTGAAAGCCCATTATGGCAGGCCGCTTAACGTTAGTAAACACGATACCGCGTATGCCGACGAGATTCGCGAATCGCCGAAGGAACGAAACGCGCCGGCAGTTTAACGTCCTCGTTCGACCGCGGATCTCGACGCGATGGCAAGATTGTCATTAATTTTTTAGACGTCACGTCTTGCTTCTCAGAATCTCTCTCTCTCTTTCTCTTTCTTCGTGCATGCATACGCCGCGTAGTCTGCTGGCGATCGCGCGGTAAATATTGTACGTATACGCACATCGAGGTACCGCTGCCTTCGGTTTCGGTTGCGACGAATTATCGCGATATGCAGGGCGGACGTCGTGTACGAGCCGGCCGTGATTATATAGCGGGCACGTCGCCACATACCATTAAGATCGCGCGGATACAATCAGAATCGATCGGCCTCTGAATAAACGTATCACGATGGGAACGACGGCCGCGTAGTCGCGACAAGCAATTACGCGGCGTATCGCGTATTAACACGCGGTGCGGGGCAGGCTAACCAGTTTTTGATACCAGCCTCATAACGCTGATAATGGATAATTGCGATTATTACGATTCCTATAGATAGTTTTCTTATTAAAAAAAAAAAAAAAAAAATTGGCCTCGCTGTCGACGGACATTCCCGATACATCCTTATGATAAATTTGCACTTGAGAAGCAGAAGGATATGACTGTGAAAATCCACTTTCTTTCTCATAGACATTAGACATTTTCTCAGCTTTTTCCCCGCCAAACAACATTATTAAATCGCATTGTTTGAACAATTTCACGCTTGGAAACTGCAATTACATTGTTTTTAATAATTTTCGTTTTCCCCTTCGATCTCGACGGAGTCGATCGTTCCATTTCTTAGACGAAGAAATACACGCAGGACGTGCCACAATTTGCGATTGTTTTCGATAACGAACGATTTATTCAGTCGTTGAGTTGATTTGGAGACTTGGTTAAAACTGCGATCGTAATTTACGAGACGCTCTTTAGATGTTGCTTAGAAGAAACAATGATTACACACACGGTTCTTGTTATGAATATTCGCAGGTGAGTGTGAGTACCGTTGTGACGGAATTATTTTCCGCGATGATCCGTCATCGAGTCAAGCAGGATGCATCCTTCAGCAACGTGATCCTCAGCGTGCTGGTGGTCGAGAGTCTCGGCCGACACCTGGATCCTAAGATCGACATTTTCGCAGAGATCCTACCCTTCGTCGTCAACAGCGCCATATATGGCGTCTGAAACGAGATTCTAAATAAAGATACACCGTTAACACGAACGAGCGAGGAGATTTCTTGAGCACGCGTGTCTCTCGCGTTAATGTTTATATTCCTAACGTTCTTTTTTCTTTTATCTATAGCCTATAGTTTTTCAAATTCTCCGACGTTCCTCGCTTACGGCCTGGTCTGGTCATTAAAAGCGTTCAGTGGCAGATCCTTCGGCCAATTTGAGAATGTTCACTGCGATTTTTCAGTCTTCATGTCTCTGCAATTAGATTTTGAATTAAAATTATACACGGAGTTTCCTTAAAATTAACGAAGGATTCGTCGTCTATTTCTTTTTCCTCTCCCAACGCTTAATTCGTAGAAAAAAATAAGAGAATCTCGAAATACAAGAAATGGCTCTCTCTGTCGAATAACAGTCAATCCGCCAAATTGGCCGAAGGATCCGCAACGAGAAGGACATCCGTCAACTGTCGGGCCACTTTGTGCAACACAACGCGCATAATTACAGGATGTTTTTGTTACACTCACGCTACTCCATAACGAGACTTACGCCGGGTATTATATGCGTCGCGTATCGTGAGTAAATTTATTCGTGTTGCATAATAAAATCGGTCGAGCGATACGGTTCCGAACGGGAGGGAACCTCGGGCGAATTCCAGCTTTAATAACGCGGCATTAAAACCATTCGCGGAGCGACGGAGAAACAGCGAGAGAGAGAAAGAGAAGGCGAGAGGAAGAAGGATTAAAAAAGAACGAAGAAAAAGAAGGAAACGAGAAAAAAGAAGGCAGAGGGGACACCCATTTTAAAACGAACCACGCCGTTTAATCGCATCCGACAGAATTCCGGCGAGTGACCAGTTGTCCGTGATGGCTTCCTGGTTGGTCGGTCGGTCGGTCGACCGATCCGATCGTCTCTCTTTAACGTGATGATCACACCGCGTCTTTTGCATGTATTACACGCGTGCACGCGTGCCCGCGTCTGTGTATATACACGTGCACGATGCGATTATAATGTATACGGGTTTACTGCTTCGAGAAAGAGAGAGAGAGAGAGAGAGAGAGAGAGAGAGAGAGAGAGAGAGAGAGAGAGA